GGGGAGACATGGGCTTTTTTTTTTTTTTTTTTGAGACGGCGTCTTGCTCTGTCACCCAGGCTGGAGTGTAATGGCGCAATCTTGGCTCACTGCAACCTTCTGGGTTCAAGCAATTCTCCTGCCTCAGCCTCCTCAGCAGGTGGGATTACAGGCACCTGCAACCACGCCTGGCTATTTTTTTTTTTTTTTTTTTTTGGTTTTTTTTGTAAAAGATAGGGTTCCCCATGTTGGTCAGGCTGGTCTCGAACTCTTGACCTCATGATCTGCCCGCCTCAGCCTCCCAAAGTGCTGGGATTACAGGCGTGAGCCACAGCGCCCAGTCAACAACTCTTTTTTACAAGGACAGATTAGGTAAGTTACCCAGGATAGTCTCAAACTCCTAGGTGAAGCAATCCTTCTGCCTCGGCCTCCCAAAGTGCTGAGATTAGCAGCATGAGCCACCCTACCTGGCCCATCTCAGCACTTTCTACTTCTCTGCCTACCTGTTGTCGATTGTTCCCCAGAACTGGGTCCTAGGCCCCCTTCTCCTCTCTACGTATATTATCTGGACAATCCATTGATGTCCTTGACTTCAACCACTACTCATATCTGATCACCACCAAACTGCTTTGCATAGTTCAGACTAGAAATCCACCTCTGCTGGACAGCTCCACCCAGTTGTCCAAGGACACCTCTTTTTTTTTTTTTTTTTTGTGAGAGTCTTACTCTGTTGCCCAGGCTAGAGTGCCGCGGCGCAATCTCAGCTCACTGCAACCTCTGCCTCCCAGGTTCATGCGAGTCTCCTGCCTCAGCCCCCCCGAGTAGCTGGGACTACAGCCACATGCCACCACACCTGGCTAATTTTTGTATTTTTGGTAGAGGTGGGGTTTCACCATGTTGGCCATGCTGGTCTCGAACTCCTGACCTCGTGATCCACCCACCTTGGCCCCCCAAAGTGCTGGGATTACAGGTGTTAGGTACCACACCTGGCCTACAAGGACACCTCTTGCACTGTCCAATTCAGGAACCGCTCACCTCACGTGGCTGTTTTAATTAGTTCCTCAGTCACACTAGCCATATTACAAGTGCTTAATAGCCACATGTGGCCTGAAGCTCCAACACAGGACAGTGCCAATGTAGAACATTTTGGTCAGCACAGAGAGTTTTATTGGCCAGCTTAGCCACTACGTTTCCAATCATCAGCTCCTTGCCTTTCTGTATTCCTCAACTGTGCCTCTCTCCCAGACAATGCTGGGCCAACTACAGAGAAAGGGTATGTAAGAGTATGTGGTAGATGTGGTGTAGACCGCAGGAAGAGGATTCTTTTCATTGATGTCTTCCTCTGAGCTGGGAAGAGGGATAAACACAGCTGGTGACAAAGACCTTAAAGGACATCTCTGAGCTGAGGTTAGTTTAGTTACAGCAGGGGGACTCAGATTGGCTAAACCAGAACTAGCCCTTCCACAAGTTTTTCCAACTCGGCAGCCTCAGCTTTAAACTTTTTTTTTTTTTTTTTTTTTGAGATGGAGTCTCACTTTGTTGCCCAGACTGGAGTGCAGTGGCTGGATCTTAGCTCAATGCAACCTCTGCCCCCCAGGTTCAAACAATCCTCTGACCTCAGCCTCCCAAGTAACTGGGTTTACAGGAACCCGCCACCACGTGCGACTAATTTTTGTATTTTTAGTAGAGATGGGGTTTCACCATGTTGCCTGGGCTGGTCTTGAACTCCTGACCTAAGGTGATCTGCCCCCACATGGCTTCCCAAAGTGCTGGGATTACAGGCATAAGCCACCACGCCCGTCCATCTGTCCATCTTAGAACACCCTTTTTTTTTGAGACAGTTTCGCTCTTGTTGCCCAGGCTGGAGTGTAATGGCATCATCTCAGCTCACCACAACCTCCGCCTCCCAGGTTCAAGCAATTCTCCTGCTTCAGCCTTCCGAGTAGCTGGGATTACAGGCATGTGCCACCGCCCCGGCTAATATTCTATTTTTAATAGAGACAGGGCTTCTCCATGTTGGTCAGGCTGGTCTCGAACTCCCGGCCTCAGGTGATCCACCCGCCTCGGCCTCCCTAAGTGCTGGGATTACAGGTGTGAGCCACCGCACCCTGCCTGAATGTTCTTAGGTGAATCAGGATATTTATCCACCTTGCTCTCTGGGGTTATTTGCCTCCTTGTTCCAGGATGGGCACTTGGTCCAATCAGCTACTTAGTTCTGGAAATTTCATTGGGAATCTCAGAAAAGAGGCATGCTCCTTCTAGGAGAGTTGTTAAGATATTAGGGTTTAAGCTTGAAGCCACGGAAAGCCATTTTCCCACTTAGGGGAGCCTGTCCGAGGGTGAAGGCAAATGCACTCGGAAGGCAGAACCAGAGATGGTGAGTCACATGTTCCTGTATCTTCTGGCCCCTGTGTTCACTTGTTCGGAAGTGTGACCCGCTCTGGACTTTTCGATTACATGGGTCATAGGTTCCTTTGTTTAGGCCAGCTGCAGCCGGGTCACTGAGAGACTGGATCGGTGGAGATCTCACTGTGCTCATGCTTTCGACTATCCTCAATACCTTAATTGTTCTCGATTTCTCTAACTGGTCTTGATGTCTCTTCTGAGCTCCAGACTATATGCCCACAGATGTCTCAAAGCACGTCCGAAACTGACATTATTTCTACCCCCCACCTTCAACTCCCGTCTCAGAGATGCAACCTCCTGGATCTGCCCCTTTCCTCAGATAAACCAAGGTCGTAAGTTCAGGCTCCGCCTCCCCGCAGGGCCTCCCCAAGGTCAACCGCTTCTTCACTCGCCCCGCTCCTTGGGGGCGGTATCCGCGTGCCCCTCTGAAGCGGGGCTGACGCTCTAGGCTGCAGCGGGCTGTTCACACAGCCTCCTCATCTCGCTGGTTTCCAGTGCTCGACGGCTACTCTAGCCCATAGCCGGGCCCGGGACTCTTATCCCCTAAGGCGGCTTCTCTATGGTCGACATCGCCCCTTTGTCCCGAATTTCCTCCAGGAGGACGCTCTGGTAGAATCCAAGCCCTTCTCCAGCTGCCTCCGTGGTCGCTTCTAGGTGCAACTGGAGAAGGCACTGAAGCCCTATGAGATTCACACCGTCTTAGGTCTCCCGAGGTCGGGGCCGAGTGAGGGGATGGCGGAAGTAAGTATGTAGCTGCCTTTCCCTCCCGCCGCTCTTCTCTATGGTCGCTTCCTTCGGCGACGGGAAAGGGGCTCCCGGCGCCTGCGCAGAACCAGGCTGGGCGCTCGTCGCGGAGCGGGTGGGGGCGTAGGGAGCAGGAGCCGCCACCGCCGCCGGAGCTAACCGCGGGGACCGAGATGCAGGTGGGACCGGAACCGGAACCCCCCTCTTCAAGTGCCTCTTCCCTCTCCTCGACCCGGGCCCGGCGCCCGAGAGGATCCCTGGGGTGGGGGTGGGCGTGGAGGGCCGGGGGCTGGAGGGGCACTCGTCCTGGAGAGTGCAGTGGACTGGGCTGTTCCCGCGGCGGATGCAGCCACGGGGAATGGGTGGCTGGGGGATGTCCAGGGAGTAGGGTCGGGTCGGAGTGGATGGACCACCGGGCCCGGAGGGTCCAAGCCGGGAGCGGAGCCAGCACCCTCCACCACCCGCCCTTCGGGAAATATCAGAACTGACCCAAGAGGCAGGTGCACCGGGAAAATGTGTCTGAGTCCTGCTTGGCAGAAGAGAAACTGAGTCACCAGCTCAGGAGCCGCAGGGTCAGCGGGCCTGAAGGGGGCTGGGTCTGTCTGCGGTGCAGAGGGTTGGGTGGGCCTATGTGAGTCGAGGTGGCCGCTGGCTGGAGATTGGTCTCTGCTGTGTCTGCACCTCTGGGCTGGGTTCCCCCGTGCTCCATGACTCCTGCATCTCCTGGCTGCTTCTCGTTGGTTTGGAGTTGTCCCTGCGGTTGGAGCCATCTGAGTGTGTAGGGCCGAGGCCCAGGAGGAAGGGGAGGGTTCGCCAACTTACTGCCTAGCTGTGGGTTTGAACCGGAGTCTGAGGTCGCGGAGGGTTTGGGGAGACTTTCCTGAGCTCCCCTGGCCCCAGCGGTGGGACTGTCACCTTTCAGTATTGCGTCGGGGGAGGAGCGCTAACAAAAGAGCCATGGGTTGTAAATTCCACACCCAGCTCTGCCACTTTCTAGTTTTAAGACCTTGAGAGAGCTCCTCCTTTCTCTAATTTTAATTTCTCTTTTAGAAAATTGGAACTATAATATTATTTTCCCCTAGGAAGATAGTAACAATGGCAGTCGTTTAGCGGGTGCTTACTTTTCATTCAGCATTGACGTAGCCCATTCCATGTAGTTCTCTCAACATTTTGAGGCGGGAGGGATCATTAGCTCTGTTTAACAGATAAAAAAACAGAGGCTGAGAGGACGTGGAATTTGTTCAGGATCACATTGCTCATAAGGTGGCTGGGCTGGGCACTTATAGGGTGGTTTCAGCCCTGGTCTGACTCCAGAGCCCATGGCCTTAACCAGTAGGCTAACCTGCCTTTAGGGCATACTCCCCAGTGGGAGGAGAGGAAGGTGAAAACTCCTAGGGCTCCAGCTCTCCCTGTGATGTTTTGTTTATGTGAGGCCAGCAAAGACTTGACCTGACCCAACCCAGTTTCTCCTGTGGGGCCCCTGCGGCCTCTGGCCCCAGAGGAGATATCAAAGAAGGGATACCAAAGAAGTGGGCTGTAGCCATTTCAAGTCTCCTTCACGCAGTGCTTGGTTGCTGGACTCTGGGGTCAGCTTTCAAGACAACTGTTTCGGTCCATCATGCATCCATCCTTCTTAATGAATCACCCCCTCCAAAGAGCTGGACCCTAAGAACCTTGAGGCAGGCTCTCTAAGGTCTAGAGTCCCAGCTCCCCTCTGGCCCCCTTCGAGCTGGGGCGGTGAGGTGCTATGGCTGAGGCTGGCCCAGCCGGTCCCTGAGGACAAGGACTATGGAGTGGGGAAAAAGGTAGATTTGGAGTTCTGAAAGTTTTCTGAGCTTCGGTTTCCTCATCTGTTCGAGAGGTCATTGAAACCTCTCAAAGGGAAAGGTAAGATAACCACGTGGGAATCTCTAGAATGGCTCATGGGAAGTATGACATCAATATTGGAGGATCTGACTTAGAGAAGGGGGGTGATCTGGAAAATATCTTTTTGGGGGGAAGGTGCTCCATAGCCTTCTACCACTGGATCCAAAGCTAAGGAAAGTGGGAGTGAACGTGGCAGGCCAGCTAGACACTGGGGAGCCAGTTGGCTGGGGCCTTCGGGGTGCCAGGATCTGGGAGAGGGAAGGAAGGTGTTGGGCTTCCTTTCCCATTGCTCTCTGCGGAGTCTGAAGCAGGGTTGGGCGTCTCTGGCTTGGGGTAAGACTCGGCCCCCAATGCGCCCTCAGCAGTGACCCTCGTGTGTGCCTCTCTCTTCCTTTCGCAGCTGCTGCCGCCCACCCCACGTCTTCTGGCCGCCTCCCTCTTTGCGCCCCACAGGCTCCCCCTCTCCACCTCCTGGGGCCCATCATGAATGGTGCCCCTTCCCCAGAGGACGGGGCGTCCCCCTCGTCTCCCCCGCTGCCCCCACCCCCGCCCCCTAGTTGGCGGGAGTTCTGTGAGTCTCACGCTCGGGCTGCTGCCCTGGACTTTGCCCGCCGTTTTCGCCTCTACCTGGCCTCCCACCCCCAATATGCGGGGCCCGGGGCTGAGGCTGCCTTCTCCCGCCGTTTTGCCGAGCTCTTCCTGCAGCACTTTGAAGCAGAGGTGGCCCGGGCCTCTGGCTCCCTGTCACCACCCATCCTGGCTCCCCTGAGCCCTGGTGCGGAGATATCACCACATGACCTGTCCCTTGAGAGCTGCAGGGTGGGCGGGCCCCTGGCTGTGCTGGGCCCTTCTCGATCATCTGAGGACCTGGCCGGCCCCCTCCCTTCCTCAGTCTCTTCCTCCTCTACGACCTCGAAGCCGAAGCTCAAGAAGCGCTTCTCCCTGCGCTCAGTGGGTCGCTCTGTCCGAGGCTCAGTCCGTGGCATCCTGCAGTGGCGGGGGACCGTTGACCCTCCCTCCCCGGCTGGGCCCCTGGATACCTCATCAGGCCCCCCAGTCTTAGGTGGAAACAGCAACTCCAACTCCTCTGGCGGGGCTGGGACCATTGGTAGGGGACTGGTCAGTGATGGAACGTCTCCTGGGGAAAGATGGACTCACCGTTTCGAGAGGCTGAGACTCAGTCGGGGAGGGGGCGCCTTGAAGGATGGAGCAGGGATGGTGCAGAGGGAAGAGCTGCTGAGTTTCATGGGGGCTGAAGAGGCAGCCCCTGACCCAGCCGGAGTGGGCCGGGGAGGAGGGGCGGCTGGTCCTCCTTCAGGGGGAGGAGGGCAGCCTCAGTGGCAAAAGTGTCGCCTGCTGCTTCGAAGTGAAGGAGAAGGAGGAGGAGGAAGTCGCCTGGAGTTCTTTGTGCCACCCAAGGTGAGGACCCGAGGAGGGTGGGTGCCTGGGGGCGAGGGAGAGGGTGGCCAGAGTGGTCACAGCCCTGCAGATAAGCTTTGGAGTTTACCAGCCCACGGCCCTGGCATCACTCTTTGTTTGTAAAGCTGGCTCTGTGTTAGCAGCTGTGGGCAGGACTGAGAAAGCAGTGTAACTGCCTTTTATCTAACTTCCCAAGGATGTAGAAGGAAAGAAGAATGTCTGAAGGGAAGGGAAGGGTGGTCTCTGCAAACCAAACCTCCGGGGCATCTGGTTCTTTCTCCCAACCTAGGCTTCTCGGCCCCGACTCAGCATCCCCTGCTCTTCTATCACGGATGTCCGGACAACCACAGCCCTGGAGATGCCTGACCGGGAGAACACGTTTGTGGTTAAGGTAGGAGTTCAGCTTCCCATTTACTGGCAGTGCGTGTGTTGAGGAGAAACCCTCAGTGCATTTGAGCATGTGGTGTTGCCAGAAGGAGGTGTCTGTTGTGTCCAGTGCCTTGAGAGTGCGTCCCTGGGGCTGCGACGTTTCTGGGATGGGGTAAAGAAGGAGATGTTCTTATTCTCTAAAACAGTGCCTCCACTTCAAAGAGAGCTGTGGGCTTTTTGTTATTGTTTTGGGGAGACAGGGTCTCTCTCTTTCTCCTAGGCTGGAGTGCAGTGACCTGATCATAGCTCACTGTATCCTCGTGTAGCCTCGTACTCCTGGGCTCAAGCGATCTTCCCGCCTCACCCCCCTAAGGAGCTGGGACTACACGCATATGACACCATTCCTGGCTAATTTTATTATTTATTTATTTTTGAGACAGAGCCTTGCTCTACCTCCCAGGCCGGAGTGCAGTGGCACGATCTTGGCTCACTGCAACCTCTGCCTCCCGGGTTCAAGCGATTCTAGTGCCTCAGCCACCTGAGTAGCTGGGATTACAGGTGTGCACCACTATGCTCGGCTAAATTTTTTTTTTTTCTTTTTTTTTTTTTTCTCAAGCCAGCTGTGCTTTCTTGACAGCGCGCCACTCAGGCCTTGACCGCGTACTTCCGCAGCGGGTACAGCCGCTCCTTCCGCTGCTGCTGCTTGGTCTTCAGGTTCTCTTTGTGCTTGTTGAGCCGGCGGCGCATGGCGCGCGTCTTCTTCGGCCGCAGGTCCAGGGGCTTGTACTTCTTGCGCTTGTAGAATTTCTTGAGGTTTTCTTTCTGAGTCTGATTAATAACTGTGAGAACACGGGCAATAGATTTGCGGATGACTCGGATCTTAGAGAGCTTGGAGGCCGCGCCACCTGTCACTTTGGCGACTCGCAGCTGGGACAGCTCCACCTTCAGGTCGTCCAGCTGCTTCAGCAGCTCCTCCTTCTTCTTCCCGCGAAGGTCTCGAGCCTTTATCTTGGCCATCGCTGCGCAGGCCGCCGCTGCCGCCGCCGCCGCCGCCGGTCGCTCCAAGAGAAAGAGCTAATTTTTTTATATGTTTAGCAGAGATGGGGTTTTGCCACGTTGGACAGGCTGGTCTCGAACTCCTGGCCTCAAGTGATCCACTCCCCTTAACCTCCCAAAGTGCTGGTATCACAGGCATGAGCCACTGCACCCAGCTTAATTTTATTTTTTTTTATTTTTTTTGGAGACAGGATCTCACCATGTTGCCCAGGCTGGTCAAACTCCTAGGCTCAAGTGATCCCCCCGCCAAGGTGTTGGGATTACAGGTGTGAGCTATCACACCCAGCCTCCAGAGAGAATTCAAATGCAACTTGTTTTTAGATAGCCTACACACATTGTTCTCATTAGGCATGGATTAAGCCTCATCCCTGCCCCTGCCCCTGCCGCAGCTGAGGCCTCATCTCATCCCTGTAGGTCGAAGGTCCCTCTGAGTATATCCTGGAGACAGTGGATGCCCAGCATGTGAAGGCCTGGGTGTCTGACATCCAAGAATGCCTGAGCCCAGGGTGAGGAGCCTGACTTCCGTCGTGAAGGGACATGGGGTGGGGTTGGGAGCAGCCTTGCGCCTCTCACCTGGTGACTTTCCTCCCAGCACCATCTTCCCTGTCTCTGCAGACCCTGCCCTGCTACCAGTCCCCGCCCCATGACCCTCCCTCTGGCCCCTGGGACCTCATTCCTTACAAGGGAGAACACAGACAGCCTGGAGCTGTCCTGCCTGAATCACTCGGAGAGCCTACCCAGCCAGGACCTGCTGCTGGGACCCAGTGAGAGCAATGACCGCCTGTCGCAGGGTAAGGGTGGAGCCTTAGAGAGCTGGGAGCCTCAGAACCCACCAGGTGGGGGGGTGGCCCTGCTTTGCCTGGCCTGTCGAAGGGTAAGGGTGGAGCCTTAAAGAACTCAGAGCCTCAGAACGTGCCATGCAGGGCCCCTGCTGTCAGGCCCCAAGCCCTCTCCAGCCTCCACTGTGCCCCTATCCCTATTTTCCAGATGCCTCACTCCAACCCCACCAAATGTTGGTCTTTTGTCTCTGAACATGCCCTGTGTTCACCAGGCACAGTTTCCTGTTTAGAACCATTGTGACCCCACGCAGGCCCTAAGCAGACTCCTAGCCAGCCTTCTGCGCCCAGCCTTGTCACTTTTTCCATCAGTCTCCTGCAGGCCACCACTCCGGCTGGAGATAATGGTTGTATTTGCCAAGCTTCTGGCACACCTTGTAGAAATCTTTGTTTTGCTCTTACTTGGCCTCTCTGTGTCTGTCAGGGGCAACCATATATTCTCTTGACTCCATACTTTTTGGTCTGACCAAACACATACCTAACCCATACACACAAACACAGAAAGATGTGTTGCCTGGCCGAGACTCATATTTCCAGACTCGGCCTCTACTATTGCCTTTTCTCCTGACCCTCCATTCTGAGTTCCATCTGCACAGTGCTTAGCACACAGGCTGTATTGAGTGAATGAACAAACGAATCATAGAATCTTGGATCTAGAGTGGACCTTGCACTTCATCAAATCTCAGTAGCTGAGACCAGGGAGAGGACAGCTGAGAGTCATTGAGGAAGACAGGCTGTGCCAGTGTGATCCCCGTGCTATGCTATCTGTGTACCACACACCTGTGTTCTCAGCACTGCCTGCCTATGACATTGTGTAGACTCTGGCCTGCCGTTGGACAGACTTTGAGGATGGTCCTAGTCCATACCTGGCCCTGTGCTGTGTCCCAGGCCAAGATGCCTGACATGAGCTCCCTGTCCTCTGGAGGCTTTCGGCTGGGTTGCCATCACTCCCTATAGAAAGCTTAGTGTTCCTTGAGCAACACAAGCAGGAAGCACGTTGGGAGCTCAGGGGAGGAAGAGAGCAGGGGAAGGTGGGAGAGACAGGGACTGCGACACAGAGGAGGAGAGGAGAGGACACCCAGGGACGCAAAGGGCGAGAGCAGAGGCCTGGGAGGATAAGGTGACAAATTGGGCAGTATAATTGGGTTAAAGTGGAAAAGACATGAATATAAGGTAAAGTAAAAATCAAAGTGTCTTGGGGTGGGGGCAGTAATAGAAGGAGCATCTTTGATGCCTCTCAGAGTTAGGAGGCTTTGTCCTATAGTTAAACAAAAGGACACCGTTTTTGCTACTGTTTTTAAATTTTTTTTGTTTGTGTTTTTGTTGAGACAGGGTCTCACTTTATTTCCCAGGCTGGAATGCAATAGCACAATCACAGCCTCTGTAGCCTTGACTTCCTGGGCTCAAGCCATCTTCCTGCCTCAGCTGCTCAAGTTGCTGACCACAGGCGTGTGCCACCACACCCACCTAATTTTTTAATTTTTTTGTAAGAGATAGGGTCTCACCATGTTGCTCATGCTGGTCTTGAACTCCTGGGCTGAAGTCATTCTCCCACCTTGGCCTCCCAAAGGGCTATTACAGATGTGAGCCACTGTGTCCAGCCAGACTCCTTTTGTGTGTGTGTGTGTTTTCTTTTTCTTTTCTTTTTTTTTTTTTTGAGACAGAGGCTTGCTCTGTCGCCCAGGCTGGAGTGCAGTGGCATGATCTCAGCTCACTGCAACCTCCACCTCCTGTGTTCAAGTAATTCTGTCTCAGCCTCCCAAGTAGCTGGAATTACCACCACGCCCGGCTAATTTTTGTGTTTTTAGTAGAGATGAGGTTTCATCATATTGCCCAGGCTGCTCTTGAACTCTGACCTCAGGTGATCCTCTTGCCTCAGCCTCCCAAAGTGTTGGGATTCAGGTATCCCCAACTCCCACTGCGCCCGGCCCAGGACTTCTTTTGAATGTCAGAATATTTGAGGTGGCTTGGAGCAGTGGCTCACACCTATAATCCCAGAACTGAGCCGGGTACATTGCTTGACACCAGGAGCTCAGGGCCAACCTGGGCTATTATATAGAGAGATTCCTTCTCTACAAAAACATGTATTTAAATACTTAATGCATTCTTCCATTTCTGCAATAATCTGTCAGCTGTTAATTCAGAAAAAGAGATACATTTGGACTTTAGGACCTTCTTGCAGTAAACAGTCTCTTAGCAGGGCAGGAAGCATCAGTAGGAGCCATTGGTAAAAAAAGCATTGGGGTCACTACCCACAAAGCTGATTGGCATCTTGGCCAGAGACTGTTGCCTGTGCACGCAGGGTAGACTAGTGGTGAGGAAATGGTCCCAGGACAGTTGTTTAGAAGAGGAATTTCTTAGGTTCTTAGCTTTGCCCTTTTCTTCTCCAGGGGCATACGGGGGCCTCTCAGACCGCCCCTCGGCATCCATCTCCCCCAGCTCTGCCTCCATTGCTGCCTCCCATTTTGACTCGATGGAATTGCTTCCCCCAGAGTTGCCCCCTCGCATCCCCATTGAAGAGGGACCCCCAGCAGGGACAGTTCATCCCCTTTCAGCCCCCTACCCTCCCTTGGACACTCCGGAAACAGTGACAGGTACTGCAAGTGTGAGTGTGTGCGTCTCCAGGCCTGGGTGCCTGCCTTGAGGGCTTCTCCTGGGATCCTGAGGGAGCTGGCCCGGGAGAGTTGGGGACGCATGCGGGGAACAGGCGCCTCGAGGGGAAGGCAAACTTTTTTCTCCCAGGATGGGGGAGGCTGCCCTGACACCCCGGTTTCCCTCCCTCTCTCCTTCCTGAAGGGTCCTTCCTGTTCCAGGGGGAGCCAGAGGGCGGTGAGGGGGACCAACCCCTCTCAGGGTATCCTTGGTTCCACGGGATGCTCTCTCGGCTCAAGGCTGCGCAGTTGGTGCTGACTGGTGGCACTGGCTCCCACGGTGTCTTCCTGGTGCGCCAGAGTGAGACAAGACGAGGTGAATATGTCCTCACCTTCAACTTCCAGGGCAAGGCCAAGGTGAGCAACCCTGCAGGAAAGGCTCTGTTCTGTGCAGTTGGCCGTGGGGTGGGAGAGCGCTGCTGGGGGAGGGGGTTTGTACCTGGCAGGGCCTTTGCCTCCACCTCACCACCCCTGTCCTGCCCTCAGCACCTGCGTTTGTCGCTGAACGAGGAGGGTCAGTGCCGGGTCCAGCACCTGTGGTTCCAGACCATTTTCGATATGCTCGAGCACTTCCGGGTGCACCCCATCCCTCTGGAGTCTGGAGGCTCCAGTGATGTTGTCCTTGTCAGCTATGTCCCATTCTCCCAGCGACAGCAGGGTGAGCAGAGCAGGTCTGCAGGGGAGGAGGTGCCCGTGCACCCAAGAAGTGAGGTGTGTGTGCCAGAAAGATGGGGCGGGGGGGCTCTGACGAGGAGAGGCTTTGCTTGGGAGAGCAGGGTAGAGGAGGCTGCTGCACCTGGGGGTTTGGAAGGGAAAGAAATGCACTGATAGGATGCAGGAAGGCAGAAGGCTCCTGGCTGGAGTCCGGGTGGCAGCTGAGAGGCGGGCGGGCGCATCCCCATTCCATCGGATCCTCTGTTCCATCGTCTGTCTGTCTCCTGGACCCATCTTCCTGGCCTCGTCTTTGCCCTCCGTTGTGGTCTGGCCTTGGGCCTGCCCTTCCTGGGGACGCTCGGTCTGATCCCCCTCCCTCCTCCCTCAATGTCTCATGTCCCTGTCTGATCTCTCCCTCTCCCCCGCCCCACCGTCCCATCTGTCCCCACGTTGCCCCTCCCCCCCAGGCCGGAAGCAGGCCGGGAGCCATGCGGGGGTGTGCGAGGGAGATGGATGCCACCCCGATGCCTCCTGCACCCTCATGCCCTTCGGAGCGAGTGACTGTGTGTAAGTGTGGTCCTCCTCTCACCGCCGCCCATGATCCATCTTCCATGGATGGGGGGTTGCTCAGGAGATGGGATGTGGGGAGACAGCCATGCTCCTGGGGGGCTGAGTGAAGGGGAGGCCGAGGCAGGAGCTCACCTGCCTCCACAATCAGTCTGTTTTCTTACCCTTCCTATCCAGAACCGAACACCTCCCATGACCCACCCCAGCCCCCTGAACCCCCTTCATGGACAGACCCCCCACAGCCTGGGGCAGAAGAGGCGTCGAGGGCGCCAGAAGTGGCGGCAGCAGCAGCCGCAGCAGCCAAAGAGAGGCAAGAGAAAGAGAAAGCGGGCGGTGGAGGGGTCCCGGAAGAGCTGGTCCCCGTGGTTGAGCTGGTCCCCGTGGTTGAATTGGAAGAGGCCATAGCCCCAGGCTTGGAGGCCCAGGGCGGCGCCGGGTCTGGTGCAGACTCGGAGGTGCCCCCGATGGTGCAACTGCAGCAGTCACCACTAGGGGGTGATGGAGAGGAAGGGGGCCACCCCAGGGCCATTAACAACCAGTACTCCTTTGTGTGAGATGACCCCACCCAATCTGCCCTTTTGCCCCCCCCAGCCCTGCTCATGAGATTGGGCTGTGTAGGGACAGAGGAGGCTGAAACCCCTCCCCCATGCTTCCTGACCCTTGTTGGCCAAGGGCATCTTCGATGGTACAAGCAGAGGTTTGGGAGCCTGTTTGCTCCTGTCATACACTACAGGTCCCCTCCCCAGGGCAGGGAATTTGGGCTCCATGACCTCCGTGAGGGGCTCTTCTGGTCAGCCCCACCCTGGGGGCCATTTCCCCATTAATCACCCCCAGCCCGAGGCAGGGTGAGGGGGAAGGGCTGTCAGTTATATTAAGGTCGTTGTTGTTGTTGTTTTAAACAAAATGGAGAAGCATAAATAAATAAAAAGGTTTATCTGGGTTCTATCGTGATGGCCATGGCCAATGTTTGCTGCGGGGACTGGGACAGTTGCGTTGGGAAGGCGGCTCGCTCAGTGCCCACAGGTCAGAGGGCTGGCCCAGGTCGAGTCCCTGCCGCTCTGCACTGCTGTGCTTTCCGGGCCGTCCCTGTCTGCTGACAGCCTTGTCTGTGGAGCGCTAAATGATGTTCTTGGGGTCTCCTGTGAGTTCTCTTGATGGGATGAGCTGTGATTGGCAGGTGTGGTTATCTTCAGGGGCCCTTCCTGCTCCGAATTTGAGTTACGGCTTCCTATCCTGGAGAGAGCTGGCAGCAAGAGATGGAGGGCACGGTGGCTGTGCTGGGAGAGATTTAATGTGACAGTCACAGAGTGGCCGCAGAGGGGCCCGATGCCAGGCTGGAGGGTGGACAGCAGAGAGCACTGGCTTCCGTCCTGGCTTTGCCACTCACTGGCCTGGGCAAGGCATAGCCACTGTGGGCCTGAGCATCCTCATCTGTGACATGTGAAGTTTCATCTGAGTCAGAGCTGCTGACATGGTTTGCTTGGCCTAGACAAGGTTTCCATTTGAGTTCCACATTAAAAATTCAGATCACTGGCTTCTCTTGAAAATCAGAAGATCCAGCTGTGCGGGTCCACCTTCCACATCTGCGCCACTCCCACCAGTTCACTTCGCTCCCTGTGAGGGTCTGGCCCTGTGGGCATTTGAGTTCATAACATCTCCCCATTGTGGCACACCCCTCACCCCATTAAACACAGTTCTGCTTTTGGAGTCAGTCTTACTCATGTGCGGCTGTGCCCTCCAACAGAGGGCACCCCTGGGCTTCCCAGCTCTGAGGGCAGTGGGTGCCAACAAGGAGGGGCCTGGGGCTGAAGAATCCCACCCACCAAGCTGGGCCTTCTCCCTTCCCCGCTGTCCGGCTCTGCTTCCCAGCATCCTGCCTCACTCCCCGCCCAGGCAGCATGGAGCCCACACCCTCATGCCCCTCAGTGTCAGCCCCCACCTCCAGGAGGCCCTACCCACACTCATGACCTTGCTATTCTGGGCCTTGTGTCCTGTTGGGAGATGGACAGGAGACAGCTGGGCTCCCAGGCCACCCAGGCGGGGGGCTAGCCGAGGGAAGCCTGCTGGCTCTCCTGCTTGCTGTAATCCCTGGGGCTCCCCAAACCTTGGCCTCAGGAGACTGGGGATAGGACCAGTCTTGAAAGTGGGGGATGCTTTGGAGAGCCGGGTGCTGTGTTCTCTGAGATGGCCAGTGAAGGCTGTGGCGCCCCGGGGTAAGCAGGGCCTGATCCCCTCCTAATCTTTCAGCAGCAACTGGTGCTCTGAGGCTCCTCCTCCCCCAGCCCTGCCAGCCTTCAGGGACCTGCCTTCCAAAGATGGGCAGGGGAGGGGGATGAGGGCACCCACCCACTCCTCAGACCGGCATGTCTTGGCTGTTGGGGCCTGAGACACCTTCCCTGTAAGCCTTCCTTTACAGATGGTTAACCCGAAGTTCAGCACTCCAGGGATTGGCCAAGCTGTTGCCGAGTCCTTCAGAGCTAAGTCTGCCCCATGCTTTTCGCTCCAGCCTTCAGGTGTGACAGGAGGATCAATTTCCATCCCTGGGCTTAGAGACCCCAGTGGAAAGGGATCCCCAAGAACGCCTCTGGCTCAGCCTCCCTGTGTGGGAGTTCACACTCGCAGCCTTCCTGAGGCTGCCCTTCCACAGCGCCTGGCGGGTGGTTTTCCCTCCCTGGCTTGTTTCCCTCTCTGGGAAGCTGGGGGAGGTAGGAATAACCTTAAAGGCCTGTTGGCAGGAATATGCTGCCCAGCCTGCCCCCTGCCCTCCGTCTCAGGCTCTCGACTCCCTCGAAGCTGCCCATCTCTCTGTCTGCCCCTCTCCATGTTTGGGCATTCTCGCTGCTGTAAGACAGTAGCCCCTGTCACTCCTCCAGGTGCCGGAGACGCTGGCCAGCGCCAAAAGGCTTGGCGGGTGTGAGCCTGACTCTAGCAGAGACTGTGGGTGCTGGGCCGGGTGGAGGTGCAGGGGGCTGTGTCCCTTGGAAGAGAGGCTGCTAATTATGCCCTCCTGCACCCCCAATTCCGCCCACTGTTCCCCACTCCCCTCAGGTCACAGCAGGACTCTGCTTCAGAAAGGGGTTTGTTGGAACTGTGAAAAGGGGGTGGGAAGGATTGCCTTGTCCTCAGTTCACCCAGGAGGCCACACCTCCCCCAAGTCCAGGCAGAAAGGATGCGTCTGGGAGACTGAACCCTCAAGTTCCACCTGCCCCTGCTGCCATCCCCCTCCCCCAAAGTGGGGGCCTTCCTTTTCTTTGCTCCTCTGTCTCCTATTCTGTCCTCTGCCTCGGAGTTTGAGCCCCAGAGTGGGAAGCAGCCTGAGGAAGCCACACTTAGGAAGTCCACACACCTCTGCTCATTTCAGGAAACTGAGGCCTAGATGGAGGAAGGACTTGAGCCCAGGACGTCAGGCCCCTTCCCCTCACTGACCTTTCACCCTCTCATCCAGCCTCTCTCCTGCCTGTCCTCCCCGTCCTGCACCCCGGGTACCCTCCCTCGGCTTCTCCAGCAGCTGCCCTGGTGGTAACCAAGAGACGCCCCCATCCTGGAGCAGGGGTTGGGAGGAGCAGCTCAGAGCAGCTGCTTCTCTGAGGAAGCTGACACCAAGGCCAGCGGCTCAGCAACAACTTGTGGCTTTGCACCCAGTGCCGGGGTCCCCGCCCACCTGGCTCCCTGCTGTCCCTCTTCGCTAGGGCTCCTCAGACTTCCTTCTGACCCTGGTGGCCCTGAGTCTCTGCTCCCTCTCCCTCCAGCTCTAATCTGTCCTCATTTCCCCCAGACCTGTCCCCAGAAGTCCATCCCTCCCTATTCCTTTGGTCTGGAGCCCCTGCTTGGTCTGGCTTTCCCAGGTCCCGATGCCTTTCCGTGGGACCTGCCTAGCTTCTGGGCACCTAGCATGGGCCTGATTCTGTTCCCTTCATGGACAGATGCAGCAGGGCAGAGTGCAGCACAGACTGCAGGCCTCCAGGGCTAGCCACGGAAACCCCATGGGTTAAAGAGAGCACAGTGTAGGATGAGGTGACCCTCACTGCACGACTTGGGGTGACCCCTGCCCCCATCCTGAGACAGTTCCTCTCCCCCTCTGCCATCAGCACATTCTGTAGCCTCTTGGGTTACTTGGCTGCCTTGGTGTCCCATTTTCTTGGAGGGGGGTGGGGATTCCCTGTCCAGGATGGGGGGGGCCCTAAGGGCTGTGTTTCCAGAGGCTGAGTTAGAGTGATGGGGAAGGGGGGGGGCGGTTTCGGGGAGAGACAGGCAGTGCTGGCTTTGCTCACCAGGGCCTGGACACTAAATCCCTTGTTGATGGCTGTGACAACCCCTCCCTAGGGTAGGGTTACCATCTTCGGCCCTGTCCCCTTGATCCTCTCCCCTCTTCACTTCCCCTTGTCCCTCTAGAACCACTTCCTCTGGCCCCCCAAAAGATGTTCTCCCTTCATCAGTCCCCCAAAAGCTTGGGGTATTTCTGCCACTCCTTCAGCAAACTGGGTGGGGAGGAAGACTGTGGCAGTGGAAACAGGCTCTGGGCAGATGAGGCAGGAAAAGGGGTGTGGGGAAAGGGACAGGTGAGGCCGGGGATGGGGATGGAAGAGGGCTCAGGGAAGAACTCGGAGGATGAGTTTAGAATGGGAAATTCAATGCTACTGGGGAAGTCGAGGCAATGGGAGGGGTGGAGTCAGTAGCAGATGACAAAGTGAAGTCTCTTCCCTACCCCACTTCCCTGGGGCTGGGGCCACCTTTGCTTCCCTCATGAGTGACATCTCAGGCTGCAGCCCCACTGTTCCCCCTCTGTCAGCAGAAATATCTCTCTCTTCTGACCCCTCCTGCTGGAGTCTCAGCCAGCCAATCCCTGATCTGGAGGAGGGGGGAGCCCAGCCCCCCACCGCTCCCTCATAAGGACCAGCTGGGGGCTGGGGGGTGGCCGGCTGCTCAAGTGGGACGGGGGTCAGAGCTTCGTGGAGGGAAGAAAAACCTGGGGGGGGCAGGAGAGTAAAAAACCCAGGCAGACAGGCAGGTGGACACACTGAGGAAGACCCCCCACAAGTGAGAACCCCCTGGAAGGAACACACCGGCCCCAGCCCCCAGGAAGGGAGCGCAATGGAGGCCGCTCACGCTAAAACCACAGAGGAATGTTTGGCCTATTTTGGGGTGAGTGAGACCACGGGCCTCACCCCGGACCAAGTTAAGCGGCATCTGGAGAAATACGGCCCCAATGGTAAGTGTCCCTTGGAAGAGAGGCTGGTAATTAATACCCTCCTGCACCCCCAAAACACACCCACACGCATGCACATGCATGCATGCGTTTCTCCCTCCAGGGTATCTTAAGGAAGAGCTGGGCCGTTGTCCAATGCTCGCAGGGGGAAAAGGATACTGAAAAAAACAAGAGTCCCAAGATCCAGAGTTTTGGGAGGTTTTAATGGGATGACCTTGATGAACCTCAAGGTGGCCTGATTCTCTTACCTTAGCCACAAAGTCTTGGGTGGGGGGAACATGAGGCTGAACCTCAAATGAATCTGTCCTTTTCTTCTTTTTCCTGGGTAGAGCTGCCTGCTGAGGAAGGTAAGTTGCTGGAATCCCTGAATTCTCATGACTCTTCCCTCCCCTCTGTCCCACTCCCTCCTCCCTGCCTTTTCTTTAGATTCCTTGGGCAAATATCCTTTCCCAAAAGGCAAATCTCCCTCCCCAAAGGTTAGAGTCCTGCCCGGGGCAGAAGTATCCAGGCACTCTCTCCTCGAAGCATCCAGGCCTTGAATTGCCCTCCCACTTTGCAGTCTGTTTCTGGACTCCAGGCGAGCTTCTCAGCCCTTCTCTGGGCACCAAGCTGTCTGCACACCACCCTAGAGGCTCCCTACTGCCGGCCAGAGTCCAGGGCGCTCTATCCCAGACCTTCATCCCCTAGACCTTAACCCGGGGCCCTCCCCTTGCCTCCTCCCCCAGGGAAGTCCCTGTGGGA